TTGCTCAGAGCCCCGTTCAACCTGGCCTTGAATCCTCCCTTTAACTGCTTCATCCTCCTGATGTGACTCCTTGTCACCCTTTTGTTTTCTTTGGGTGAATTAGGAGGAGTCAAACCGGAATCCTGGATGGTTGGGGAAGGAGGCGGGGGGGTACAATCCGGCACCGGGGCAGAAGGAGGAGATGAAGGAGGAGGAATGGGATCTGCTGACGGTGAGGGAAGAATATAAGGAGGAGGAGAAAGAGGGAGCTCTTCGGGACTCTTGGTCTTTTTCTTAGAGTTCTTTTCTCTCAAGGTAAAAACATGAATCCTAGTGTCTGATCTGATCCACAAACTAGCATATTCGCTCTCCTCTAGGCTAAAAGGTTCTTTGGAATTCACATGTATGTTTAGAGCTTGACAAATCCAATCTTCAAAGGAACCGAAAATGGGCCAATATAGGTGGTCCTTTCTTATTTGTTTCCCACCCCATACCTGCATACAATAATGTACTATCTTTTCTTTACTTTTTCCTTCCCTAGACGGCCAGTCCCCCCAGTGGGCAATCATTAACCCCAAAGGACTGTCTGGCGGTATATCGGGTAGACCTATCCTTGGACCACCACCAGGATCAGAAGGCTTGCTTTTCTTCTGTCCCATCTTTTGAGGTGCCTCTGTACACTCACACATGCTCCCCTCGTTCATGGCCCACGCCCTCGCGGGCAATGCGCCCTCGCGGGCAATGGGAACCGCACTACAAGAGGGTCCGCACTCGCTTCGTTCCTCAGGAACGTTCCAGTCAGTCGCACCTCGGGAAACCCACCCCGACCGAACGGATCCACGCAAATACTCGCTCAATCCTGAGTCTTCGTTCGGATCTTCGTGCACAAAAATTATGGGGGACCGCGGGTTCTTTTGCCTGCTTACCCAAATTTAAATTTCGGAGGTACAGGATTTGGACAAGGAATCAGCCACCCAAGGGCCATCCGAAGATGGGGCGCCCCCCTCGAGCTCAGATTCCAGACCAAATTGTCCCATATCCGAGTCACGGCACCAAATTGGAATAAGCGTTTGAGGCCGATTATATTTATCAAGACCGAATTTATTCAAGCAAGCAATCAAGCAGGCAAAAGAGCGCTGGGCGGCCGGGGCGTCTCCTGCTCCACCAACGGCGCGCACCTCACCCCCACCAGAGTCCCTTCTTATAGTTTAGTAGTCCCGGGCCTACGTGGCACATCCTGGTATCTTTCTGGTGGTCGTGAGGATAAAGGTCATAGTCTTCCTCCACGCTGTAGATCAGTTTCTTTCCTTATCTGGCCATGTTGACCCGAGAGGTCCCCATGGCCATGCTGTCCCCAAAGTGTCCCCATGGCCCTGCCCTGGGGGGTCCCCATGGCCATGCTGTCCCCAAAGTGTCCCCATGGCCCTGCCCTGGGGGGTCCCCATGGCCCTGCGGTCCCCAAAGTGTCCCCATGACCCTGCCTCGAGGGGACCCCATGGCCATGCTGTCCCCAAAGTGTCCCCATGGCCCTGCCCTGAGGGGTCCCCATGGCCCTGCTGTCCCCAAAGTGTCCCCATGGGCCTGCCCTGAGGGGTCCCCATGGCCCTGTCATCCCCAAAGTATCCCCATGGCTCTGCCCTGAGGGGTCCCCATGGCCCTGCTGTCCCCAGACTGTCCCCATGACCCTGCCATGAGGGGACCCCATGGCTCTGTCATCCCCAAAGTGTCCCCATGGCCCTGCCATCCCCAAAGCGTCCCCATGACCCTGCCCCCGAGGGGACCCCATGGCTCTGCTGTCCCCAAAGTGTCCCCATGGCCTGTCATCAAGGCCCTGACATCTCTTTCACTTCCCAGGTCCCCATGGGTCTGCTCCGGGTCCTGCCATCCCTGAGGGGACCTCGTAGCCCTGTCCCAAAGGGTCCCCATGACCCTGCCATCCCTGTCACAGTCCCAGGTCCTGGGATGTCCCAGGGTGCTGGGGACAGGATGGGATTGGGGACAGAGCCCTGAGCGGTGGCAGGACACAACCAAACACCTTGTGACAGTGACACCAACACTCTTTATTGCCTGGGGAGGGGACGGGGATTAAACCCCCTTCGCAAAGGGAGATGGTGGGTGACGGGGCTGCAGGGACGCGTTGGGGACATCGGGACAGCTGGTTACACGCTGGTGGCCTGAGCATCGTCACCACTCTCGTCCCAGCCCCGTGCCACCATCCGGCGTCCCGGCCTCCCGGGGTGGCCCAGGGCTTGGGCGATGGCACCCCGCAGCTCCGCCTGCTCCCTCTCCAGCACCGACAGCCGTCTCTCCTGCCAGGGGACCATGTCAAGCCCCCAGTCGAGTCCCTTTTGTCACCCCGGGGGAGTCCACCCACCTCCCGGCTCTTACCAGCTCCCGGCTCTTCTCCTCGCTGCTCTTCAGCCTCTCCAGGTCTTTCTTCCGGGTGCCTTCAGCCGCCGTCAACCTAAATTGGGCTGAGGATGAGCCAAGACCCCAACCCAATGGTGGGGCACCCACCGGCCATGGGGCACCCATGCCTTTGGAGCACCCAATCCCCATCCCCATCCCTACCTGGTGCCTAAATTGGGTTGGGGATGAGCCAAGACCCCAACCCAATGGTGGGGCACCCGCCAGCCATGCTG